GTCTTTTTAATGAGGAATTTTTGATGTCCTTAAAAAGAGGAAACCTCAAATTATATTTGAATATTGAGATTTACCAGCTAAAAAGAAACAAAACTTTACTAACTCACAGGGAAAATGTCAACATTTTAAAGGTATTTTTCCTCAAAATCAGTTTTTTTGTTGCTACTGCTCAAAAAAGTGCTTCATAATTTAGTTTTATGATTATATTTCAGACAGTTCATTAATAAGGCTTTTATTCATTATATTTTGACAAAATGCAATTTTTTCAAACGTTTTAATCAAAACACTGTATTTGCCTTTTTCTCCATATACGACTTTTAGACTTAATCCTCGTTTTGATGTGAYGGGTCACATATGTTTCAGGGGGTTTCTCCCTTCAGTCTCTGTCAGGAGGTGAAATAATTTATTGGGTTCAGGTCAGGTTCAGGTGATTGACTTGGCCAATCTAAAACCTTCCACCTTGTTCCCTGATGAAGTCTGTTTTGTTGGCTGTGTGCTTTGAGTTGTTGCCCTGCTGCATGATAAAAATCCTCCACATTCGTTTGGAAACAATTCTCTGTAATTTGGCAGAAAAAAATGTTTCTGTACACTTTGTAATTCATTCTGCTACTACTATCATCAGTGACATCATCAATAAATATTAATCATTGCTAAGCTGACACACAGCCTTAGCCTAGCAATGCTAACACCTAGCGAGGCTGTTTGAACTCCCCCGCATACAGCCCAGCCCGCAGCAAACACCGATCGCCGCATCGTTCAGTTTGGTAAACTAGATGGAAAGCAAAAAAGAGTTTTGTTCACCTTTTTCCTGCGACCAGACCGCACGTCGATTACAAAGGCCTGCTAATGCTAGCAGCCTTTAGCCCCAACACCGCAGTTTCCTACACGACTTTCAGACAAACGTCGGGGTCACCAAACTGTAAGAAATATTCGAGTTCAAAGACTGAAGTCACTAGAAAAACACCAATGTTAAATAATATGATTGTTAGACGAGATAAAACCATACAAAACCAGAATTCTGGAGTGAGGGTTTATTGCCATTCAGATCTGACAGGAAACCACACTGCCGGTCAACCCGGAAATCGATCCATTTATACAGAGTCTTCAATGTCCGTGTTCGCCCCCTACTGACATACGGCTGAATCACAGGCATTCAGACAAAAGTCTCATCTACTGTTATTATAACGTTTTCATTATGTGTTGTTTATAATTCGGACATGTAACAAATCTATATCAATCAAAACATAATAGATTAAACATTTTCAACATTATAAAAAGGAAAACCTAAAAATATATTGTGGTGCCTTTTTTTTTTTTTTAACCTGCACCATGATGCAACAGATGAGCCTGTGTGCATCGGATCATCAGCAGTTTCTTCCTTTCTCCACACTTTGGTAGATTAATCTTGGTCTCATCAGTACAGAAGATTGTCTTATGGATCTTTTTGAGTGGTTTCATCTTTGTGTTTGGCCTCTATATTTCTGCTCTCTGAGTCTTCTTCGAACAGTGGATTGTGAAACCTTCACCCCTGCACTGTGGAAAGTAAAGTAAAGTAAAGTAAAGTTTTATTTATAAAGCACCTTTCACAGAAATAAATTCACAAGGTGCTGTACATTCAGGGAAGGGGGAGGGGTCAGTTAAGAAACACCTATTCAAGAAGACAAACAAGACAAACATGGGAGAACAGGTGAAACTGGTCATGCAGCAAACACAGTTGTGCTACCTTTAAGAACAGAAAAACTAAAAACCACATAAGGGAAGATGAGGAAAAAAACCTCTGTGGAGGTTGTTGGTGATGTCACTTACTGATGTCATTGCAAATAAGGCTTATACCACCAAATATTAGTTATTTATATGTTCTTTTATAGTTGTTTACATTAAGATTATTTGTTCTTTTACTTTTGCTCACTTGAACGATTGGTGGGTTCAAACAAACGGTGATATCTCCTAAGTAGTTTCACACATCTGAGTGTAAATACAGGAAATCAAAGCTTGTTTCAGGCTCATCTTTTGATCTTAAACCAAATGTCTTCAGTGAACAACAACTAGAGAAGTTTGACTTGCTGTTCCATCACTGATGGAGGGGAGTGTAGCTGCACACAGACCACCAGCACTGAGATGATTGTCATCCATGTTTGTTTACCTTTTGAACTGTCACACTCACTGCAGTTTGTTGTGTTTTGTTGGTTTTTGTTTGTCTGACTGATCATGTAGTGTGGTTCCTCAACAGGAGCAGTTAATTTTCTGATCCCGTCTTTAATTTGTTATTCAAAAATCTGCTGAAACCAGTCCAAACCAGTGACCATTTTGCTCAAAATCATGTTTTTTGTAGCTATTTCTAAAAAGAGTGCTTGAAAATACTCTAGATTATATTTCATGTACCCAATTTAAACGACCTATAGATAATGTATTTATTAGGGGTGCAATAATACATGTACCCGTATCAAACCGTTCAATAAAATACTTTAGGTTCAGTACGCACKTGTATGGAACAATACAGATTTCTAAAATTTATTTTATCAACTTGTCTTCTGAAGATGCTCTGTGTTGAAGGATCAGTGGATCTGTGTTCGACTACTTTATCTAGGCCAGTGGTTCCCAAACTTTTTATCTTCTGACCCACAAAATATCCAGGGCAAAAACTTGTGACCCCAAATATTACTGGTCTGAGTACACAAACTTTGTCCATCCATCCATCCATCCATTTTCTTCCGCCTATCCGGGGTCGGGTCGCGGGGGCAGCAGCTTCAGAAGGGAGGCCCAGACC